TGCTGCATTTACCACCCAAACTTCACATCCATATAAGAGGGGTTGGTACTACTATACTTTCATATATTCCCTTCTTTGCCTCCATAGATAACTTTTTTTTTTTCGACTCTACATATACCTCAACGCACCACTCACCTTTTTCCTCATCAATTCTATGATTAACCTCATCCTTCATAAATCCATCTGCTGACACGTCAACTCCCAAGTATCTGAAAACATTCACTTCTTCCATACTCCTCCTCCCCAATTAATATCCAATTTTTCTTTATCTAAATCATTTGATACCCCATCACCTTACTCTTTTCTATGTTCACTTTCAACTTTCTACCCTTTAAAACACATTCTCAAACTCATCCCCTAACCTTTGCAATTTTTCTTTAGAATCTCCCATAAGCACAGTATCATCAGCAAAAAGTAACTGTGTCCAATTCCCATTTTTAATTGATTCCTGATAATTTAACCCCACCCCTCTCCCGAAAACCCCAGCATTTACTTCTTTTACAACCCCATCTATAAATATATTAAACAACCATGGTGACATTACACATCCCGTCTAAGACCTACTTTTACCCGGGGAAATATTTTCCCTCTCTTCTACAAAACCCTAACCTGAGCCTCACTATCCTCATAAAAACTCTTAACAGCATTTAGTAACTTAAACCACCTATTCCATAACTTGCAACATCTGCCACATTTCTCCTCTATCCACTCTATCATATGCCTTTTCTAAATTCCATAAATGCAATAAAAACTCCCTACCTTTATCTAAATACTGTTCACATATATGCTTCAATGTAAACACTTGATCTACACATCCCCTACCCACTCTGAAACCTCCTTGCTCATCGCAATCCTACATTCTGTCTTACCTCTAATTCTTTCAATTATAACCCTACCGTATACTTTTCCTGGTATACTCAGTAAACTTATTCCTCTATAATTTTTACAATCTCTTTTGTCCCTTTTCCCTTTATATAAAGGGACTATACATGCCCCTCGCCAATCCCTAGGTACCTTCCCCTCTTTCATACATTTATTAAACAAAAGTACCAACCACTCCAACATATACCCCCCCTGCTTTTAACATTTCTGTCATGATCCCCCTCAGTTCCAGCTCATTTAAAAAACCCCCCTTTCATTCTACTAATGCCTCACGTACCTCCACCACACTTACATTCTGCTCTTCTTCACTCCTAAAAGATGGTATACCTCCCTGGCCAGTGCATGAAATTACCGCCTCCCTTTCTTCCTCAACATTTAAAAGTTCCTCAAAATATTCTCCCCATCTACCTAATACCTCCCTCTCCCCATCTACTAATTCCCCTACTCTGTTTTTAACTGACAAATCCATACTTTCCCTAGGCTTTCTTAACTTGTTAACTCACTCCAATTTTTTTTCTTATTTTCATTAAAATTTCTTGACAGTGCCTCTCCCACTCTATCATCTGCTCTCCTTTTGCACTCTCTCACCACTCTCTTCACCTTTCCTTTACTCTCCATATACTCTCCTCTTCTTATAACACTTCTGCTTTGTAAAAACCTCTCATAAGCTACCTTTTTCTCTTTTATCACACCTTTATTCATCATTCCACCAGTCACTCCCTCTTTCCTCCTGCCCACACCCTTATTTATTAATTACCTTAAAATATTTGTAGTCTTAATGTAGGGTGAGAGGTGAGTTTTATTTGTAGGAAGTCAGGTTTGGGAAGTATGGTAGCCAGCCAAGGCTGCCCTCCCCACCCAACCCACGCATCATGTAAAGAGACCAGGCGAACACGTCTGGTGTTCGTTCATACACTTTTGTATTATACAAACACTTTACATTGTGTACAAGTTGTCTCCACATTGATACAGTAGAATAAATAAAGACCAACACTTCCATTCTCATGTAGTTTTTAGAAGGAATGATGCTCTGACAAATTATTATTACAGGTTATTATTTTTACAAGTTATTATTATTATTAAAAGTTAATATTTTTACAAGTTGTTATTATTACTATTACAAGTTATTATTATTATTATAATCATAATAAAAAAGAAGTGCTAAACCCACAAGGGTCATGAATATCTACAAACAGAGTGAAGGCATACGAAAGGAATGAATTTCTATTTAAGTTACTGGTGTATGACTAGAGAAAACATAATTCTTCGACTCTCCTACCCAACTCTTGCTAAACAAATCACATTTATGTCAGTTTTTATACTGTGGGTGTATGTATCATGTTTATTATATAATTTTGAAAAAATATCATAGATAGATTAATGGAAATGCCTATATTAATGTAATCTACAATATTTATGCACCCAAGAAATTAGTATATGGCATCGAGTAGAGAGACTCTTAGTGATTTTAATGTGTACCTGCACACCAACACAGTGTGTAAGTATATTTAGGTACAGGTACACATAAATATAAATTATCAGAGTACATATATATATGCAATAACTTGAAAACACTTAATATTCTGGAAATTTCCAGACATAATAGAGATTTGTGCTTACGGAGAATGTAAACAAACCAGGTGGGGTGACCTGTATTTGAAAGACCGCTTGCTGTATAGCAAATTTTGGTCATAATTTGACATTGTCATATTAGCGGAACGCCATAAGGCGAAACGCCGTAAAGTGGGGGCCCTACTGTACCAAGAAGTTTCACAAGCTTGTAAAAAACTATGCCTAATGAACAAAAGCTGACGAGAGACTGAGCAAGTGATGCTTTGTTTTCGTTGGAACTTCGTCCAGATGGGCAGTTTTGTTTAGGACGAGTATCAGGGCAACATCCGAATCTTTCTTTCTTTCTTTCAACACATCGGCCGTATCCCACCGAGGCGGGGTGGCCCAAAAGGAAAAACGAAAGTTTCTCCTTTTACATTTAGTAACATATACAGGAGAAGAGTTACTAGCCCCTTGCTCCCGGCATTTTAGTCGCCTCTTACAACACGCATGGCTTACGGAGGAAGAATTCTGTTCCACTTCCCCATGGAGATAAGAGGAAATAAACAAGAATAAGAACTAGAAAGAAAATAGAAGAAAACCCAGAGGGGTGTGTATATATGTGCTTGTACATGTATGTGTAGTGTGACCTAAGTGTAAGTAGAAGTAGCAAGACGTACCTGAAATCTTGCATGTTCATGAGACAGAAAAAAGGACACCAGCAATCCTACCATCATGTAAAACAATTACAGGCTTTCGTTTTACACTCACTTGGCAGGACGGTAGTACCTCCCTGGGCGGTTGCTGTCTACCAACCTACTACCTAGAACATCCGAATACCAAGTCAAAATTTTCTCAAAAAAAAAAGTTGAACGAATATCGAGTTGTACGAATATAGGGACGTTTGAATATTGAGGTCCCACTATATATAATAATTATACTCAAATAGACTTTGGAATCATCTGAATTTATATCCCCAAAACAAACTGATTACACTGTGTAAAACAGTTTTTGTTCCTGGCAAGTGTTATTTACCAACTCCTTTTACAGTGGAACCCCAGTTTTCATCTTTAATCTGTTGCAGGAGGTTGGCCGAAACCAATTTGTATGAACTCTGAAGTAATATTTTCCATAAGAAATAATGTAAATCCAATTAATCCATTCCAGACACCCAAAAATATATAAAAAAAAAAATACATTTTTTTAGAAAATAACTAGTTTTACATAGAGAAAACAATGAGAAATAAATATAAATGACTACTGAAATGGATAAATGAACATTTTACATCACTTTTACCTTTATTGAAGACTCTTGTTGGCATATGGAAGACGGCGAGGAGGGGAGAGGGAGGAGAGGATACTGTTTGGAAGGGAAATCCCCCTCCATAAGGACTTCAGGTATCAAAGCCCTATCTGGGGTTACTTCCCTTCTTTGTCTTTCACTGGCACTAGGACCAGCTTGTGAGTCACTGGACCCCTGTCGCACAAAAATTCTGTCCAGAGAGGCCTGTTTCTGGCATCTCTAAGATTTGTCTAAAATGGGACACAGCAATGTCACTGAACATATTGCTGACACGGCTTGCAACAGCTTTGTTTGGGTGATATTTCTCCACAAAACTTTGCACTCACTCCATTTTGCACAAATGTCCTTAATCACTAAAGAAGGCACATTCTCCCCTCTCTCTTCCTCCTCCTCTGAAACAATTTCCTCAGCTAAGGTCTGTTGCTGTTCCAGATGAAGGTCTTGCAGTTCTTCAGTGGTTAGCTCTTTTCTGTGCTTTTCCACCAACTCTTCCACATCTTGGCTACTCACCTCCAACCCCATGGACTTCCCCAGACACAATAGATTCCACAACAAGTGTAGGGTCATCAGGGTCAGCCTCAAACCCTTCAAAATCCTTCTGGAGGACACATGCTGTCACAATTTTCTCCAAGAAAAGTTAATCATCCTGGAAGTCACTCCCTGCCAAGCCTTATCTATAAGGCTTATGCGATTGAGGATATTGAAGTGATTCTTCCAGAACTCTCTTAGGGTCAATTCAAAGCACTTTTGAAACACTGCTTTGGTCTAGAGTTTTTTGAAGTTTGAAATGACCTGCTGTCCATGGTGGCTTATTTAGCAGTCGCAAGAACAAAAAAAATGGATTACTACCAAATGTTTCGGATGAACGAGCAACGACAGCAGACTGAGTCATGAACATGTGAGTGGCTGCGTCTCACGGGCAGGTGGACACGTCTGGTATGGACGATTTCCAAGTGGATGACAAAAACGGGGGGGAAAATTTCGCAGAAGTGGTTGAAAACTGAATTGTATGATAACCGGACCAGACGAAAACCGGGGTTCCACTGTATTGTAAAACAATAGAAAATGCCCATTATTCCTTTTAAACTTTGCTTTTGTGGCTTACAGGATGAATTTTTGACAAAAATGGCTAAATTTCAATATTTTTTGCTATTTTTGGATGTAAATAAAAATATACAATAAATAAAATTTACACAACTTTTAATTTAAACTTTCTGAAACATATTTACAAAGTTAAAAATGAGCAGTTTTTCATGATTTGCGAGCATGCAACAAATCACTTTCCCGTTTAAGCCCCCAAATACAGTCTCCCATCATGTTTTCATTATAAGATCCCTGATATCTGTGTTCAAAGTCCATTATATCTTGGTGGAAACGCTCCTACTGCTCCTCTGAGTATGCTCCAATATTCTCCTGGAAATTGTCAAGATGAGCATCAAATATGGACCTTTAGGGACATCCTACAGCCCATCTGACCATATCTTTTTACCAAGGTCTCAACAAGTTCCACATAACTGTCAGCCTTGTTGTTGCCCAGAAAGTTTGTGCTACAACGACAAAACTCTCCCAGGCTTCCTTTCCCTTCTCTTGTGAGCTTCTTTGGAAATTCTGAGCACTCCCGGATTTTCCTGACTTGTGGTCCAGATGCCTTCACCTTTGCCTCTGATAGCTTGGGAAAGTCTTGAAGATACTTGAAAGCTACAGACTCTTTGTCAAGAACTGTAGCAAACTGTTTCATTAGCCCTAGTTTCAAGTGTACTGGAGGGAATAGAACCTTTTGAGAATCCACCAATGGTTTGTGTTTGATATGTCTTCCAACTGAGAACTCAGTCCTTTGAGGCCAGTGCTTCCTCTGGTAATGTGCTACTCTGTCTCTACTATCCCAATGACAGAGATAACAGGGAAACTTGGTAAAACCTCCTTGGAGTCCCATAAAAAATGCCACCGTTTTGAAGTCTCCAATAACCTCCCAGCCATACTAATCATAGTTTAAAGCTTCCAGTAAAAGTTTGACACTGTTGCAGTCCTCCTTAAGATGCACTGAATGAGCCAAGGTAAGAGATGGATACTTGTTCCCATTGTGCAGAGGCTTCTGGAGGAGCTGTCAATGAAAAGTCTCCACTCATCTGGATTGCATGCAATTCCAGCTGCATCAAACAGGCCTGAAACATCATCACAGTAGCACAACCTGTCTTCATTAGCGAAGAAGCTTGAGAAATGTTGGTGACGTTTTCTTTGGCTTGTCACTTGCACACTTTCATTCACCAAGTCCCACTCTTTGAGCCTTGAAATCAAAAGCTCAGCATTTGACTTTGTCAAACCAAGATCTCTGATAAGTTCATTGAGGTCTGTTTGGTTTGGGTAGTAAGGATTCCTCCCAACAGCTGCATCTTCATTTTCTGATTTGCTGCTGTTCTTCTTCTGATGGTTGACTTCTTTGTGGAGGTGTAGGTACAGGAAGATCAGCACTGTGTGGTACTGGTGCAATAGAAGAGGGAAGGTCTGGATGTAAAACAGCAGGTGCATTTTTTTCCAGTTCGGTGTTTGGAAGGATCCACCAGACAGAAGTAACAGTTGGTTGAGTGATCAGTGGGTTCATGCTATATTCTAGGAACACCAAACTTCATGGCTCTTTTTTCTCCTCTATATCATCCTGTAAAAGATCAAAAGAATTAGTTTCTGTCACATACATTTCATTTAAAAAATGTTCCTATTCAAGATTTTTACCCTTCATATAACTAATGACTTTCTTACCTTCTAATGTTTTCTTACAATGTTCACAAGCAACATGAGGTGCCCAGGTCTTGTCTTGGCTCCCAACTGGCATGCTTGGTAAGCTTCACACATTTTTTAGATGCTGTTACAGAGAACTTCTTTGCTCTTGTCTGAATGAACTGACCACATCTGTAGCAGAATGCATCTGGAGAATGACAACAGCTTCTTGATGCCATTTCACTTCTTCTGATGTGTCTTCTCAGGTAGCCAGAGCTGAACTGAATGTGGGTTTGTGAGCCTGTTTTTATATTTGCCAGCAAAACCCTAGACCATAATAGTTTTACATCAGTCTTTCTTGAAAGTGTTCCAGGAAGTGTCCTGACCACAAAAGCAAAGTTCTGGATCAAAACTGCTTTTTTAAATTTTGTTTAGTTATAAAGAATTGGGAAATGATGCTTATTTCTCAGGAACATGACAAAAGTGAAATTTTGTTATATAGTGTTACCTATTGGAGCGATATGTTGTGTATCTTTATACGTACATGCTTCTGAACTGTTGTATTCTTAGCACCTCTGCAAAAACAGTGATAATGTGTGAGTGTGGTGAAAATGTTGAATGATGATGAAAGTATTTTCTTTTTGGGGGATTTTCTTTCTTTTTTTGGGTCACCCTGCCTCGGTGGGAGACGGCCGACTTGTTGAAAAAAAAAAAATAGATTAATTTACCAAACAGCTCCTAGAATCTGCTTAATTCTATTCAACTATTTTTTATTGATGGGGTTGAGGGGACTCGGCACAAGCAACTCTCCAAGTGACCCAAATACTGAGATACAGAAAATAAAATTTACCGGCACTGAGAACAGCTGGCTCAGAGAGTCTAGAACACTCACTCGCTGCTCAGTGGGTGCCACACGCATTTTTGACCCCATCACATCCAAAACTTCATCCATTTCTGCCTCTGCAAAAAAAGTTAAAAGCTGTCATAATACCCTTTGAATGATACTCTCACATTCAATTGCTGTAAATTTCTTAAATGTTAAAATATCAAATTGTGAAATCAGAAAATGTACAGGAAAAAATATTTTCAAATACAGCCTCTCCTCACTTAACGACAGAGTTCAAATGGAACTGGACAGAAAGTACATCATTCGTGCCACATCCTTTCAATGCCACATTGTCCCATCACAAATGAGTTAGACTATTTTCAACTATACTTTGATAAACCGATAATGAACCTAATTGTTACCCAGACCAACATGTACTACCGGTATACAATGGACAACACAGATGTTTCAGAATCATCACGGTTGCACAGGTGAAAAGATACAACTGTGACTGAAATGTATTTATTCCTTGGCAGTGTCATGCTTAATGCCACACACATATAATAATAATAATATAGCACAGTACTGGTCCACAGATCACTTCAGCAGCACCCCAGTCATTCATGACCTCCTTTCCTGCAACAGATTCACTCTGTTGCTACGAATATTGAACTTCTCAGACAGGAATACACAAAACCAAAATGACCTCCTATACAAAATCAGGGAATTGTTTATGTATCTGAAGCAAAAATTCAGTGCCAACTTTTATCCATTCAAGAACACTGTTGCTGACGAATCCTTGATTCTGTTCAAGGAACGACTGTCATTCAAACAATATATACCAAGAAAAAATTATCGCTTTGGAATAAAACTCTTTGTGTGTGACTGTGAGACTGGTCTTGTGTTGGATGTCATTATCAACACGGGGAAAAACACACTCGACGATACCAGGTGCATGCTGGGCATTTCCGGTGATGTTGTTAGCTAGATGATGCAGCCATACCTTGGCAAGGGTCATACATTGTTCACAGACAACTGGTATACAAGCCCTATGCCTGCTGATTTCCTACGTGTGAACAATACTGATATATGTGGAACAATGAGAAGTAGAAAACACATGCCAAGGTTCACTGGAGGAAGTGTAGTGCAAGCGTTTCATGCCAACGACATCATGGCACTGATGTGGCATTACAAATGGGACATGACACTGCTATCAACTATCCACAGAAACGAGATGGTACAGACAGACAGACTGAGCAAGCTCAACAATCAACCACTTGTAAAGCCAGCTGCTGTCATCAACTATACCAACAATATACAACTAGTCAACAAGTGTGACATGATGATAGGGTTTGTTGACTGCGTGCGTAGGAGTCGCAAATGGTATATAAAGGTGTTTTTCTACCTTGTGGACATTGCAATGCTCAATGCCTTCAACATGTACGAAATAAAGACAGGGAAGCAACGATATGCAGAATTCACCCTCAATGTCATCAAGTAGATATCAAAAAAGTATGGCACCACACCTATACCTGCCACTCCTCAACAGCAACCTGTCACCCCACAACCAGAGGGGAAAGTGTCCAAGTGAATAATCCCTAACTGACACTGCCTGATACCAATACCATCTACTCCAAAGAAGAAGTACTCTCAGAAAAAGTGTGTTGTGTGTGCTTACACTACACAGCGACCCTAAGTGCAAAAAGACACATGATTCATATGTCAGCAATGTGGGGTGGCACTCTGTATGAATCCATGCTTCATGGAGTATCATACAATGGTGAACTTTTAGAAACATAAATGGGACCTGTACACGTTTATAGAGGGGCAACTGGATGTGAGTGTGGGGGAGGTGCGTGAGGCATTACGTACAATGAAAGGGGGTAAAGCAGCTGGAACTGACGGGATCATGACAGAAATGTTACAAGCGGCGGGGGGGTGGGGGGGGGGTGATATAGTGTTGGAGTGGTTGGTCTTTTTGTTTAATAAATGTATGAAAGAGGGGAAAGTACCTAGGGATTGGCAGAGAGCATGTATAGTCCCTTTATATAAAGGGAAGGGGGACAAAAGAGATTGTAAAAATTATAGAGGAATAAGTTTACTGAGTTGTAGGTAGTAGGTTGGTAGACAGCAGCCGCCCAGGGAGGTACTACCGTCCTGCCAAGTGAGTGTAAAACGAAAGCCTGTAATTGTTTTACATGATGGTAGGATTGCTGGTGTCTTTTGTCTGTCTCGTAAACATGCAGGGTTTCAGGTACATCTTGCTACTTCTGCTGACACTTAGGTCATGCTACACATACATGTACAAGCATATATATACACACCCTTCTGGGTTTTCTTCTATTTTCTTACTAGGTCTTGTTCTTGTTTATTTCCTCTTATCTCCATGGGGAAGTGGAACAGAATTCTTCCTCCGTAAGCTATGCGTGTTGTAAGAGGCGACTAAAATGCCAGGAGCAAGGGGCTAGTAACCCCTTCTCCTGTACATATTACTAAATGTGAAAGGAGAAACTTTTGTTTTTCCTTTTGGGCCACCCTGCCTCGGTGGGATACTGCCGGTGTGTTGAAAGAAAGAAGAAGAAATGTATGAAAGAGGGAAAAGTACCTAGGGATTGGCAGTGAGCATGTATAGTCTCTTTATATAAAGGGAAGGGGGACAAAAGAGATTGCAAAAATTATAGAGGAAGAAGTTTACTGAGTTGTAGGTAGGAGGTTGGTAGACAGCAGCCACCCAGGGAGGTACTACCGTCCTGCCAAGTGAGAGTGAAATGAAAGCCTGTAATTGTTTTACATGATGGTAGGATTGCTGGTGTCTTTTGTCTGTCTCATAAATTTGCAAGACTACAGATACGTCTTGCACTTCTTCTTACACTTAGGTCACACTACACATACATGTACAAGCATATATACACACACCCCTCTGGGTTTTCTTCTATTTTCTTTCTAGTTCTTGTTCCTGTTTATTTCCTCTTATCTCCATGGGGAAGTGGAACAGAATTCTTCCTCCGTAAGCCATGCATGTTGCAAGAGGCGACTAAAATGCCGGGAGCAAGGGGCTAGTAACCCCTTCTCCAGTATATATTACTAAATGTAAAAGGGGAAACTTTCATTTTTCCTTTTGGGCCACCCCGCCTCTGTGGGATACGGCCGGTTTGTTGAAAGAAAGAAGTTTACCGAGTATACCAGAAAAACTGTACGGTAGGGTTATAATTGAAAGAATTAGAGGTAAAACAGAATGAAGGATTGTAGATGAGCAAGGAGGTTTTAGAGTGGGTAGGGTATGTGTAGATCAAGTATTTACATTGAAGCATATAAGTGAACAGTATTTAGATAAAGGTATGGATTTATGGATTTAGAAAAAGCATATGACAGAGTGGATAGGGGAGCAATGTGGCAGATGTTGCAAGTATATGGAATAGGTGGTAAGTTACTAAATGCTGTAAAGAGTTTTTATGAGGATAGTGAAGCTCAGGTTAAGGTGTGTAGAAGAGAGGGAGACTACTTTCCAGTAAAAGTACATCTTAGACAGGGATGTTAATTGTCACCATGGTTCTTTAATATATTTATAGATGGGGTTGTAAAAGAAGTAAATACTAGGGTGCTCGGGAGAGGGGTGGGATTAAATTGTGGGGAATCAAATACAAAATGAGAATTGACACGGTTGCTTTTTGCCGATTAAACTGTGCTTATGGGAGATTCTAAAGAAAAATTGCAAAGGTTAGTGGATGAGTTTGGGAGTGTGTGTAAAGGTAGAGAGTTGAAAGTGAACATAGAGAAGAGTAAGGTGATGAGCATATCAAATGAGTTAGATAAAGAAAAATTGGATATCAAATTGGAGAGGAGTTTGGAAGAAGTGAATGTTTTCAGATACTTGGGAGTTGAAGTGTCGACGGATGGATTTATGAAGGATGAGGTTAATCATAGAATTGATGAGGGAAAAAAGGTGAGTGGTGTGTTGAGGTATATGTGGAGACAAAAAACGTTAACTATGGAGGCAAAGAAGGGAACGAATGAAAGTATAGTAGTACCAACACTCTTATATGGGTGTGAAGCTTGGGTTGTGAATGCAGCAGCGAGGAGGCGGTTGGAGGCAGTGGAGACGTCCTAAGGGTAATGTGTGGTGTAAATATTATGCAGAAAATTCAGTGTGGAAATTAGGAGAAGGTGTGGAGTTAATAAAAGTATTAGTCAGAGGGCTGAAGAGGGGTTGAGGTGGTTTGGTCATTCAGAGAGAATGGATCAAAGTAGAATGACATGGAGTGTATAAATCTGTAGGGGAAGGAAGGCGGGGTAGGGGTCATCCTCGAAAAGGTTGGAAGGAAGGGGTAAGGGAGGTTTTGTGGGCGAGGGGCTTGGAGTTCCAGCAGGCGTGCGTGAGCGTGTTCGATAGGAGTGAATGGAGACGAATGGTATTTGGGACCTGACGATCTGTTGGAGTGTGAGCAGGGTAATATTTAGTGAAGGGATTCAGGGAAACCGGTTATTTTTATATAGCCGGTCTTGAGTCCTGGAAATGGGAAGTACAATGCCTGCACTCTAAAGGAGGGGTTCGGGATATTAGCAGTTTGGAGGGATATGTTGTGTATCTTTATATGTTGGATTGCGTGCAGCCAGCAGTAACAGCCTGGTTGATCAGGCTCTGATCCACCATAAGGCCTGGTCACAGACCGGGCCGCGGGGGCGTTGACCACCGGAACTCTCTCCAGGTATATGCTTCTAAACTGTTGTGTTCTGAGCACCTCTGCAAAAACAGCGATTATGTGTGAGTGAGGTGAAAGTGTTGAATGATGATAAAAGTATTTTCGTTTTGGGGATTTTCTTTCTTTTTGGGTCACCCTGCCTCGGTGGGAGACAGCCGACTTGTTAAAAAAAAAAAAAAAGTTTACCGAGTATACCAGGAAAGGTGTACAGTAGGGTTATTATTGAAAGAATTAGAGGTAAGACAGAATGTAGGTTTGCGGATGATCAAGGAGGCTTTAGAGTGGGTAGGGGATGTGTAGATCAAGTGTTTACATTGAAGCATATATGTGAACAGTATTAAGATAAAGGTAGGGAAGTTTTTATTGCATTTATGGATTTAGAAAAGGCATATGATAGAGTGGACAGGGGAGTAATGTGGCAGATGTTGCAAGTA